CAGCCCGGAGCGCGTGGCCACCTGCCCTCCAGCCCACAGCCTGTGGACCCAGGTAGGGAACAGGGTCCTCTGACCTCAGCCCCCGTGAGGACCTGCTCCTGCGAGGGCTGGGGTCATGCTCAATTCTATTCGGGTTTCTCATCAACGAACGTTGAGAATGAGGGGAAGGCCAAGTACAGATGCTGAGGTTTCTGCTTTTTTGGATGTTCTTATTTCTCCTCCACAGGAAGTGACTTATCGTGTCTACTATAAATCCAATTAAATGGCAGGATCACTGGCCTTAGAGAGGCCCGAATTATTAGCTCATGTCCTAAGTGTCGGTAAGACTCAGGAGAAAAGCCTCATCAGCGGGAATCAAAGCCTGGGAGGCATCGCCAGGATTCAGACAAGTAAGAGGGAGGCTAGGGTTGTGTCCCCGTTCCGAGCCCTTTACCACGCTCCTGGTGCAGCCAGCCTTGTGCCCCAGAGCCGGCCTGCCAGCTGGGCACTGGGGCCTCACCCCTCCAGCTGCCCCAGCGGGCGGCGCCAGCTGCCCCAGGCTCTGAAGATAACCCCAAGACGACGCGAGGGGGCTCCAGCTGGCCCGCATGGACCACTTCTCACTTCCCGGGTCAGAGAGGGGGTTACGGTCTTTGGGAGCTTGGGGGGGACCGTCATGTGACCCTCCGGCGCAGAGATGGTGGAGAGCCCGCGCAGCCAGAGGGGTCTCTCCGAGGAGGCAAGCCACGAGATCTCCACGCCGCCTCTCCCCCACCCACCCACCCACCCCGGCCCGGGAGCTCCTCCCAGCCTCTCCGGGAGGGGGTGGGGATCCAAGCGGCCCCAAACGAGTCCCCCGGGAGGGGCGGGCCGAGGGGCAGCGCCGGAACAAAGGCCCATAGAGGGGTCCCGGAGAGCAAGGTTCCCCGGGGGCGGGGGCGGACCCCTCCCCACTCAGCTCCTCCCTCTCCCCCCCTTCTTCCACCCGAGGCCCGGCCGGCACGCAGCCCGAGCTGCGCCAAGTTCGCCAACGGTTCCCAAGTTGCCGGCTCGCAGGGGTGGGAGCTGGGTGGGGTGAGGAAGAAGAGGAGGAGGAGGAGGAGGGGGCTCCCGGCGCCTTGGACGCGGTTCAGGAATTCGCCGCCGCTAGCCGCTCGCCCGCTCGGGCCGGGCGGGGAGGACGCTCGGCAGCCCCGACCCCTCGCTCCCTCGCTGGGCAGGACGGCGCCCGCCTGGCGCCTCTTCTCGCCCGGCGTGCGAGCCCGCGGAGCCGGGCCGCGCCGCCCTCCTCCGCTCCCCGCCGCCTTCCCCGGGGAGGGCGCAGAGCCGGGCCCCGAGGGAGCTGGTTCCGCTGGGACCGGGACAGAGTTGCGAGCGGATGCTGCCGGCGCCCGACCCCAGCCGCGGAGAGTGGGGTGCGCCCCCGCCGGAGGAGGCTCGGCGGCCGGGGTAAGTAGGACCCTGAGTCCCGGAACCGCCTCCGGGCCCGGGGAGGCCGCCGGCCGCGCGCCCCCTGCCTTCCCCGTCCGGGCGCGCGCGCCAAACTTTGGAGGAAGAGGGGCGAAACGCAGGGTGGGAGAGGGCGCTCCCGGCTCGGGGAGAACTCCACGCAGGCACCCACAAGCTCCAGGCTCACTGCACCCCGATTCCCAGCTGCCAGGTACACACAGCCCACCACTCAGCCCACATCGCCGCGCACACGCGCTGAGCGGCGCCGCGCCGACCGGGCACCGGGCGAAGACCCTCGTGTACAACCCCGGGAGCGGCGTGGGTCCGCGGACCTAGCGTGTCCTCCTCCCGCCCCTAAATAACGCCACGGCCTTTGTCTGCAGCCCCCCCCCACGCACACACACTAAGAAGTCCCCCCAAAGCGACGGGCATGGGAAGGACTGTCTTGGCTTTGAAAAGTCGTGGCCAGGACGCGGGGGCCGAGAAGCGGGGAGGGGCAAGCCAAGCAGACACCCCGGGTCGTTCTCGGGTTCAGCGGCCGCGAGCCGGGCGTCCGGGCGAGGTGGCTGGGTGCGCGCAGCCCTTCCGGGGGCGAGGCCGGAGGGGAGCAGGGGATGATTCAGAACTCGGACCGGCCGCGGGGTCTGGGCGCAGGGTGGCAAGGCTGCCAGGCCGGCGCTGGGCGGGCCCGCCGGGTGGCGGCGGTGACAGGGCCTGCGAGGGGAGCTCGGACCCCTCTTCCCAGGCGGATGTGCTTCCTCGGAGGGACTTTCCTCCGGGAGGACTGACGGGATTCCAGGCCTCCGTGCGGATGTGGAAAACCGAGCCCGGTTGTCGCAGAGTCCAAGATCAAGGAGAAACCAGGGTGGTCCTGGAGCCCTGTTTCTTTCCATTGCACCTGGAGTTGTGCTTTCGGTGTCCCGAGGCCCCGGGATGTTTCAAGGACTGTCCTGGGCCGAGCACGGTGCCTGGCACACAGTGGGTACTCAGTAAGGAGCTGACAAAGCCTGACAGCAACAGTCTCTCCAAAGGGCTCACTAGGAGCCGCACCTGGGGGCCTCGGCTGGGCGGGGCTTGGTCTTCCTGCAGAGGAGGGGTCCGAAGTGGTTCCGGGGAGCCCTGCCTGATCCGTCTGGGGAAGTGGCTCAAGCAGCTTCTCCCATGGTGCCCTGGGGGCTGGCATCGGGGGAGTTGAGTGTCATCATTGGCATCTGCTCCCCTGAGGGGCAGCGGGAGGCTTCATTTCTGCAGCTGGCTGAGCTGCGGGCTGGGCGCTGTCCCCCAGGGCTCTGCGGGGTGTGCTGGAGAGGGGCCTGGCAAAGGGTCTCGGAGCCCCATCTTCCCGCAGGGGCTGGGCTGCGTGTGGCAGCAGGTGGAGGGGCGGTCTCAGTCCCCACACTGAGCACTCAGTGGGTGCCTCTGTGCCAGCTGGCATGAACGGCCCAGAAGAGCAACAACATCGCATGTTCTTGGAACTGTGATTGCAAGCGGTCTTGGGAACGGTTGCTTCCTGGCACGGACTGAGTGTGCAAGGGTGTGGGGCCATGTAATTGCAAAAAAGAGTGTCACTCCCCCCACCCCGCCATCCCTTCGTGACTAGGTTCAGTGTGCGGTTCAAGCTTCTAAATGGTCTTAATGCTGAAATTAGCAAAATACGTGGGCAGCACCCAGGACTTTGGCCCCAGATCAGAGGTGTGATGTGGGCTTGGTCACCCCAAATGTCAGGTGGGATGCTGCAGCCAGACCCTTCCCAATGCCACCTTCCACCTTAATCATGTCTTCTGTGAATCAAGTGCTCTACACACACTCTCTCAGTGAGTGAGCCTGCGAGGTTAGCGTTTATCACTACCTTAGAGATTCGGAAGCTGAGGCTCAGAGAAGTTAGATCGTGTAAGGTTTTCAAGGTCACACACCTGGCGAGGGACAGAGCCAGGATTGGAACCAAGGCCGTCTGACTCTGGACCCGTGCTCTCGCCATCACGCCAGGCCGTTCCTAAGTCCCTGCTGGCTCTCCATGGCAACAAGGAAGCAACAGGGATCCGTGGACTAGCATGGTCTTGGGGCCTCTGCCTGCAGCTCTCTTTTTCCACACACGCTGCCCAGCTGGGTTGCACCGTGGGCCCCGGGAATGAAAGGCTGGGTGGCACCAGGCTGCTGGAGCTTTCCACGTGGATCTGGAGTCAGGAAAAAGGGGGGGCTTGGGAGTGATTTCGGGGAGATGTTGCGGTAATTCCAGCGACAGATGATTCGTAGCTTACCTGAGACGTGGGGACAGAGCTGCCACAAGTCACACGTTTGGGTTTGGGAGAAGCTGCCAGGTAAACATGCTCAAACAGATTAAGACATTCCTCTCCCGAGCTAGGAGAGAAATCCGGTCCACAGGGAAACCCGCCCTCACGGGCCACGTCCTGCCGTCACTCACGCGGTAAATGTAAGGGGACGTGTCACGGCTGTCCTCACCCCCTACCCCCACCCCCACCCAGTGCCCGGAGAACTGGACTCCTCTGTGGTGTCAGGCCCTCGGGAGAGCCTGGGGCAGCGGGGGTAGGAGGTGGGTGGAGGAGGCCGCCTGGTCCCCAGTTGATGCTTTCTCACACAGCCCCTCAGAGGGACAGTGGTTACTGTCTCCACGTTCACAGATGAGGAAGTGAGGCTCTGAGAGGTGCCGTGGGTGTCCAAGATCCCAGCGCTAGGGAACGGCCATGAGCCACGCAGCTTCAGGACACCCCTGCAGCCTTTAGGGGCGCCGTGTGTTCAGTCTGTTGAGTTCTATAGCCCGGAGGGCTGAGCGGGATGACCCTGCTGGGACAGGGTCCTTGTTGTTCTGCCCAAAAGCCTCCGATGCCGGTTTGCCCAGTGGGAAAAGCTGGCAACCTTAAGCCAGGAGCCCTGCCCAGGCCCCTGGAAGCCCCCTGGGTGCATTCCGAGAGCCTTCCCAGTGCCCAAGTCCCTCTCTCTCCCGCTCCCTTGTGGAGTGGACCTCTGTCCAGATGGAAGTTGGAAGACTGGCTGTGGGAGAAGCTGCCGCACCTGAGGGACAGGAACCCCTGGCTCCGTCCTGGTGCCTGACACGTGGAAGTACTTGGGAATCGGTGCAGGCCAGGGGCAGGCCATGAGCCACCCCCCCACCCGCTGAGGGACATCTTAGTCAGAGGAAGCATTCAGAGAGGTCTCTGCCCTTCATGAAGTCACACAGGAGAGGAGACAGCTCTCCTTTCCGCCCTTAAATAGAAAGACTTGTCCTGTTTCTTCTCCGATGCAAACGATCAATGCTGCCCGCCCCACCCTGAGCGTCTCGGTTCCACAGCTGGGCATGGGGTGGTCCCTGACTGACTGGACAGTTCTGTGCTTGAAGATGGACTCATGTCTCCAGTGCCTCAAATCTGGTTGCTCGTGCACCCTTCCACCCCCACCCACCCCCCGGCGTGAAGGGAGGGGCAGGCAGGCCAGGGAGCCCCTGACCAGCAGTAACTTCATGTCTCCACCCCCATCCCTTCCTCTCTATGCCTCCCCGTCCCCGCCCTTCTCCCCAACCAAGCTGGCATGTGCTGAGGAACTGTGGGTTTTCTGGGCCCTGGGAAATGTGTTGCTGGGGTTCCCGAGGACTCTCTGGAAAGGATTTGGAGGAAAATAAATAAGCCAGTGTCCAGCTCAGCCTCTCCTGGCTGCCACAAGTAAACACCATCGCAGAAGCCAGCCTGGAAGCCGCTTTGGCCTCCCCTCCCCTGCTTACACCTGGCTCACTGGCCGCCTCTCCAGCTCCCTCCTTCCTGCCCCTCCCAGTCCAGCCCCTCCTCCTCGACTCTGGGAGCCTGAAAAGTCAGGGAGCACACCCACCCTCGGAGTCCTGGTGCTGCGGGGTCCGGTGCTGAGGGCGCTGGCACGCTGGAGGCTGGGCGGAGGAGCCTGTGGGCGAGAAGACCCGGTGCTGCAGCTCAGCCCTGCTTGTCGGAGTAAGTCTCCCAGCCTCCCTGCTCAGCCAGGCTGAGGGTGCACTCTAGGTTGGCGAGTTTGACTCTGATGATGGAGAATGGTGGGGGCTTTTTCAACTTTTGTGACATCTTTGGTCTTAAACGTCTGTTTAGAGTCAATGGACCCAAGCTAATTTTCCTTGTTGTGTCCTTCCAAGGTGGGGCTCGTGTGTGAAGAAACCCTCAAAACCCATGCATTTTCGTTGTAGGGCTTCCCGGACTACCTAGGGTGTCAAGGTTCTTTGCTTTTGACCCAAGTCATATCAGCTTAGGCCTGTCAGCGTGGGTGCTGGTGGTGTGGCTGTGGAATGCGAAGCAAATTTGTGATAACAACTTCAATCAATTCAACTGACCCACTCTAGAACCCAGCTCCCAGTGAACCAGGGCTCTGGGGTGGGGGCAGTTCCCTGGCGGGGGTGGCAACTGAGGACCGCCCCCCCCAAGGCTCAGGGAGTGGCTAAGGGGCTGTCCCATGGTATGTGGCTAAGCCCAGCTGAAACCGCTGGATCTGGGGAGCGGGCACTGCCGGGAGGCGCTGGGTGCTGCCTCCGAGTGGGGAGTCCCCTTGTCCTGCTGCTGCCAGGCTGCTATGAGGGAACTTGGGGGGCGGGGGGAGGGAAGTGAGCCCCATAGTTGCAGCCTTGGTAGGAGAGAGGCTGCATACCCACATACTCACAGGCCATCACACACATTGTCATGGGCTGAAATACATACATTCAGATATACCCCCTCCCCCCCGACACACACACACACACACAAATATTTCTGTAAACAGCCAGGCACATTACACACTGAAACAGCTTTTGTAGGCACAAGAGTGTACACACACACACACACACACACACAGGGAACACTCATTCCAAAACACAAATTATGTAATGACTGAGAGCACATGTGCTAAAGCCAGAAAGCCCGCAGGGCTGCTTCGTAGCTGTGTAACCTTGGGTAAGTTACTTAACCTCTCTGGGTCTAAGTTTCCTAATTGGTGGGAGCTGGGTATGGTAATAAGTCATAGGTCCTAGTGCAGTGGTCGGCAAACTCATTAGTTAACAGAGCCAAATATCAACAGTACAACGATTGAAATTTCTTTTGAGAGCCAAATTTTTTAAACTTAAACTATATAGGTAGGTACATTGTTATTAACTTAATTAGGGTACTCCTAAGCTGGCCTTTGCTAAAAACGTCCTCAATCTGATTGAGGTTCGTTCGCTGAGGTCGACCCCTTCCAACTCTCCCATCCACACTCGTCTTGTACACTTGTTTCGTCTGTCTCCTTTCGTTCATCCTCTCTGTATGTCCAAACCATCTCAACATACCTTTCTCAGTCCTCGACACTACACCTTCTTTCACTCCACAACGTTCCCTAAAATTAACTTAATAAACTTTAAAGTTTTAAGTCAACTTCGCACTGTACGTGCGCGCCCGCCCGTGGTATTTTGTGGAAGAGCCACACTCAAGGGGCCAAAGAGCCGCATGTGGCTCGTGAGCCGCGGTTTGCCGACCACTGTCCTAGGGCTACAAGTGAGTTAACATCTGGGAGGAGCTTAGAACTGTGCCTGCACACAGTGAGAATTAGGCTTCCGATGAAAGTTGTTTTCTAAGAGGGCTCCCAGCTTAGCCGGGTAGAAGCCGCCCCCTCCCCCTCAAACGCTGCTCTGCGTTCCGTCGCCCTGTGTGTGGGCATGCCTGTGCACACATGCCCCGCGCATGCCGGTGCCTGCGAGCCCACACGGCTACCTGGGACACCTGGCCCCGGGCCTCGCCCGCGCTTTCCTCTTCTCCCTTCCTTTCAGCCGCCTCGCCATCTGCAGGGTTCTGGAAAGCGCTAAAGTGTCTGAGCTAAAGCAGCGGTATCTGAGGAAATATTTTGAAAACAATCTTTCCTCAGCAAAGAATTTCACAACTCCGATGTGGGCAGGCGGGCGGGGGGAGAGCAGGGTGCGGAGGGGTGAGGGTGCCAGCTGTCCTCTGGAGAAGCCCGTTGCTGCAGGGTTAAGGACAGACATGCCTGCAGAGGCCCGAGATCGGGCCACGGAACCTGTGAGTCAGTCACGACGGGGAAGTCACCCCGACCACAGGGTCAGGCACCCTGTCCTATTTCTATTCTGAAATCTGCTTTTCTTTCACTGTTCCTCATCTGTGTCACCTGGTGCTGCTGCCCGGGGTGGGGAGGGGAGGCTGGGGGGTGGGGTGGGGGGAGATACACAGGAACTGGGTGACACAGCTCACATGCACAGCACCATGTTTGCACCTTTTGGGGCTGTGCTCATTGAGTTCTCCCAGGAAGCTCCTGAGGGAGGTGCTGCTCTTATGGCCACTTTATAGCCGGGCACGCAGAACCACACTGGCAGAGTAAGCCGCTGCCTTCCCACAGCTGGTGAGTGCACGGGGGGGGGGGGGGGGGGGGGCGGGCGGCGCGGTCTGAGCCCTGCAGCCTGGCTCCATCAGTGCCCTCAACCTGCCATGGTACCACCTGTGTCTGTCCTGCTGTGGCTGCCGCCCGGGAGGCCGAATGCTACACAAGAACTTCATTAGATTTTATTTCGTAACTGTGGCCAGGGCGTGCCACTGGGTCAGGCCAGGACGCTCTGGGGAGGCTGGCCCCAGGGGTACCCTGGCCCCTGTGGGCACCGCACGTGGATGTCTGAGCCTCGCCTTCCCCAGGCTGACCTAGGCAGGGCCTCTGATGGTACAGCAGCCCCCGATGCCAGGCCAGCCATCGGCTGACTGCTGCTCCCCTTGGCAGTGACCTGGTCTAGGAAGTGGCGTAGACAGATGGCAACAAGAGGGATTTACATGAATAAGCAGGAACTAGCAGATCGGCCCTTTGCAGCAAGATGGAAACCCCACCTGGAGTAAGCACCCTGAATAGCAGCTCCCAGCCTCCTCTCGCCAGCCCGCGCCTTGGACTCGGTATTCCAAGTCTCACTTCCCAGCCGCTTGGGTCCTGCTCCCTGTAGCCTCTCCAGCTGCTGAGAACCCTCTCCTTCCTCCTTTCTGGCGGCCACCTCTCTCCATCCTCAGGTCTCAGTTTGGATGTGTCCTGGGCAGGTCAGCAGCCCTCCTTACGGCTGCCTCCCTCTCTATATGTCCAAACCATCAGGTCATTGCGGGTTTCACGGCTGCCCTCCACCGGTATGAGCTCTGCGCGGCAGGACAGTGTCTGCCTTGTTCGCCCTGTGGGCCCCGCGTTGAGCCAGCCTGGCCATGTAGTGAGTGCGCGTACCTGATTGTGGAGCCATGAGTGATGGGTGTGGTGTGGGGCCCTGGGATGATGGAGGCGTGGGTCTGCCCCTCCAGGAGCTACTGGCAGGACCGCGCCCATCCTCTCAGGATAGGATGCCCTTGCTGGGAGTGACCTGTGTCTGGGCAGAGGTGGCGGCAGCCATGCTGAGTGGGAGGGGGCAGCTGACGAGGACGGGAGGCCCTGTGTGGGACAGGGAAGGAATGGAGAGTGGGACCCTGAACAGGTAGCTTTTCTCACAGTCGTTACCCTGCGGGTGCTGGGCTAAGAGCCCGGGGACGGGCCTGAAACCTTCCAAGAGGCCCCTGTGAGTAGGTAGGCTGGTGGGTGGGTGCACTATGTATGGGCCCCACTGCTCAGCCCCACCAGCAAGTGCTTCTTGTTCCTGTCCCCTGTGGACGGGTATCTGTTCAGCCTCTCCAGGGTTCGGCTCTGACCCCCAGGCAATGGAGGCTGTAGGTGGCTGAGTCCCAGCCCAGCTGGCAGGCTGCCTCCTGGGGGTAGTGTCAGCTGCAGCCCTCAAGCTGTCCTTGCAGAAGTACCGGGGCCCAAGTGCTACATTCTCCCCACCCCTCCCACGGAGCTCACATGAGGGTGCTGCGGCCCGGGCCTCACCTATCCAGGTGCTGCGTACCTGCCGATGCCTGACACTGTGCAAGGTGGGCTGGGGGTAGCAGAAGGCACCTCCAGGCTAGAAGAGGAGAGGAGACCAGCACCAATAACCACTTTTGAGCCCAACTGTGATGAGCCCACAAAGGCGGGCATGAAGGAGGACTGGGGGACAGCTTCCTGGGGAGGTGGGCGTTCCAGGGCAAGAAGGGAACCTGGGTGAAAACACAGATGGGAAAGTTCAGGTGGAATGCAGGGAGGGTGAGGAGTCCAGTGGGACTGGACTGTGATTTGCAGGATGCACAAAGGAGAGAGAGAGAGAGAGAGGAGGCAGGACAGAGTTGAGTGACATATACATGTCCTAGAGCCAGGCTGCCTACACAGAAACGCTGCTCCTCACTTACAGGCTGTGTGACCATGACCAAGTTGCTTACCCGCTCTGTGCTGCCTCTGTTTTCTCATCTGTAAAATGAGATACTAACAGTATCCACCACGTGGGGGTGATAGGAGGATAAACTGTGTTTCTATATTAGTGTTTAGAGCAGAGCCTGGCACACAGCATCAGGAAAAGATATTATTCCCTTTTAACAAATGTAGCTAGAAAAGTAAATTGAGGATCGACCGTAGAGGTCTTTGAATGTCACACTTTCCATTTGCTAAGCACCTGCTGGTTGCCAAGTACTTTACAGACATTCTCCCTGAGCCTCACACAACCTAGCAAAGTTGTTAGCAATGTCTCCATTTTACAGATGGGGAAACTGAGGCTCAGAGAAGCAGAGTAACCACCCAAGGTCACTCAGCTTAGAGGAGCCAGAGGCAGTAATGAAACCAGGTCTGCCTGGTCTCCCTCAGGGTGAAGATGGGCCCTGACTGAGGCAGCATGGGGATGTCCGCAGGCTGGGGTTGCAGCCAGGAGCGGTACCCATGGGTCCCTGGGCAGGGAGGGTGGGAGGTAACAAGGGAGATTCTGGACAGGCCTGGAAGGCCAGGAGACAGGAGGCCCCGAGGCCACAGAACACAGCTCACCATTCAGAGCCCAGGGGCAAGCCGCTGAGTCATTTTGGGAAAACATGACGTCACCGAGTCTTGCTGTCTACTGCCCACCTGCCAATGTGCCCTCTGTGGCTCT